GGTGGGCTCAGATGGATTCTCGTTCTTATCGCTAGATGTTTATTTTAAATTCTACCATTTATCATTCCACACTCTAACATTTGATATTGTAATAATGTAATTTTTAAGAAACTCTGATGTATGAAATGGACAAGTATTGTAACTCGTTCTCATTATTGGATCCTTGGGAAAAATGTGGATCTTTTGGGTTCTCCCTTGGAGTGTGCCCGACAGATACCGCCCGCTGTAGCTTGCTTTCGGAGTGCTTAGTGTCTGGTGGAAGACGAGCACCTCCGTAAGCGTGTTATTTCAGGCGGTTCTGCCACAAGGCCACTCGCGTGTCATTCGCCATTAACGGCGCCATGGCCGCCCTACCACGCTGCCACCGCCGGCACGCGTGCACGTTCCTCTCCTGGCTGCAGTGGTTCGCAATGATTGCACATGTGCGGTCGCCGTGTCCCGCCAAAGCTCGGGCAAGCAACCGGACCCATCCCCTTTTTCCCTCCCTCCTCTGTTGCCTAGGCTAGCCAGGCCATGCCATCAATCCGGCATGGATGGATCATGTCCATTCAATTCGGTGCGCTCCCGACTCCACCTTCGAGCCTGCTAGCCGACCGACCCTGTACCGTGTCCAACCACGCCTTGACAAGCTCCAATTTGGAGCTCGGCTTCTGCCGTCGCGCCATTAAAGGCTAAGCCCATTGTTGCCATGGGCATTACCCACGTTGTCGTCCTGAGCCAAATTGGCTGCATCCCTAGCCCCGCCTCGTAGACCTTCTCGACGTGCGCACCTGAGCCGCGCCCTCATTGCTTCCCTCGCGGCGTTGACGCGGCCGTGCCTCCGCGGCCCAGCGTCGCCCTTGCCACGCGCACATGGCCGGCTCAACTGGGGCAGTCTTCGTCCGCTCCACCACTTCAGTTAGGATCACGGTGAGACCCGAATGCTCGTCCGCTGTCCATATTTCCTCTCCGGTGGTGGAGCTTGACTAAACGGGGTTGCCGCCGTCATTGGTTGGTCGTCGCCGTAGAGGGAGCTTCTGACCGCGTCCCCGTTCATCTCTTCACCACCCACCGCTTCGCGTCTGCATCTACTGAGCATCGGCCCCTTAGAGGGAGTGGGGAGAGGCCCGGATGGCCGACGTGGTGGTCCAGTGCCATCGCTGCCACGTCGGTGCACGCGGGGTTGGCCGGAGGACCCGCCCATGGTAAAGAAGCGAATGGGGAGGGGCTTATGTGTATAAGCGCAGACTGTAGGAATAGTGTTGTGGACCTCGGGGTGAACCATCGGTAACTCAAGGGCATTTTCGCATAAGTGATCGGCGCGCGCGGGCCTCCCCATCATGGGCTGTTTCCGCGCGGTTGGGCCGCGTCCCGTGTGGGCCACGCCAGCGGGTCGCGCGTGCACGCGCACGACGCATGCGTGGGCCACGTCGCTCGCTCATGGGCTGCGCAGGTTGAATTCGTTTTTCATTTTTATAGAAGATAGAAATAGCTTTACATTTTACATTCTAAGTTGAACTTTGGAAATTAATATCAATTGACATAAGTATCCAAAAATTGTGAAATAAATTCTATTGAGTTCCTAAAAATGTTGTCTACCTAATAGCATGGTTAGTTTATATATATGTGTGTTGATGCTAAGATCTATTAAATTATTTAGAAGTGTTAATGCTATTTAGATTAATAATTATAGGAATTTTTGTGGCATATTGGTAATAACTTTGGCCATGAAATTTTTACAGTAGGTTCATTAGATTATTATGTGTTCACTGTAATTTTTGTAGCCTTAGCATAGGTTGAGAAAGATGGTGGCTAAGTACGCCTTCTGGTAGTATATATATTAAATCGGTAATAAGAATAAGGATGCCTTTAGTTGCTAAGATAATACATGAAATGTTTCATACCTGTTTAGTAGAAATGATAGGCAACTTAGCGTCTTAGTCGATAGAGCTAGCTTAGTAGCTTAATAGATGTATTCTTATTTTAAGAGTTGTTGTTGCCGTATTACTAAGTGTTGCATCATCATTTCATGCATGTAGATAACGAGTTGGTAGAGTTCGTGACTGTGGGCGAGTAGGAGTATGAGGAGATCATCGAGGAGTACGAGGAGGAGATTCTCATACAAGAGGGAACCCCGGAGCCATTAGTTGCTGACTTTGCTGACACCCCGCCTGCCCAAGGCAAGTCCCGGTGCATAACCCTTATTTTTGAATGATCACTGGATATATATATGTGTGATATGCATTTATATTATAGGCATTTTATGGAAACTACATGCATATATATACTTACCTATGAGTCCTACTAGCATAGATCGAGTAGCTGCTATGCTCAGGATTTCGGTAGCGTGAGTAACCTGCCGTTACTCACAATAGGTGATTATTATTATCACTCATGATAAAAATGATGAAAGAAAAATAGAGACCGGGCAGGGATATGGTATGGGTATTGGTGGGTGTAAGAGATTGTGTCCTGCGGCCAACGGGCATAGCTTGGTTACACTGTTTCCCTGTTTGTGTCGGTTAAGGACCGACTGTTGTATTGGGTTCTAGGCAAGTCATAGACTTATTATCCTGAACACATACTTGCATATGGGCGCGGGAAGGCTCATTGTTCTCTTGTCATAGGTTCCGGCTCTTTTCGGATCGACTGATTGGAGGCGGGGATGGTGGAGATCTAAACACCGCACTGAGTTCGAGACTCAGGAGCGGGGGCTTGGAGTCCAAGTTTGGATGATGACCTAGACCCTGTGATAGGAGGGTAGTGGGTTGGTCCTGTTTGTGCGTGGGATACAAGCACGTGTGTTTCAGGGTACCCAACTGGGCACATTGATTCGTGAATCGCCGGGCGATCCGATACGGCTTGTCTATAGTCTAGCACCGTAGCAAGAACTGAAAGATGAAAGGTGGTGAAATAGAGTTGTTTGCTCAACTCTTGCTTGAAAGTAGAACATATGCATACATAGAATGGTTAGATAATGAACTAATCTTGAATGTTAATAATTAACATACATAAGGATTCACTATTAGTATTACTTTTTGCAAAAAGGAAATCTAGCAAACCTTAAAGCTTATCATATTCCTTGGAGTCGGAAAATTGTTCCCACTAATCGGATAAGTTTTGCGAGTATATTGTGTACTCAGGGTTTATTTACCCCTGTTGCAGGTGCAGCTTGAGGAGTAGCCGTTGTGTGAAGGATTCTTCTGGTGGACACAGACGGATCCTGGTATATTATCGATAGATGTTTATTTTTATTCCGCTGTTTAATTTTCGCACTCTGAACTTGATACTGTAATAATGTATTTCTAAGAACTCTGATTGTATGAAATGGATTAAGTATTGTAAACACGTTCTCATTGTTGGATCCTGAATGAAAAATGTGAATTATTCGAGATCTCCCTTGGGGTGTGCTCGACGGAATCCATCCGATGTAGCTCGCTCTCGGAGTACTTAGTGTCTGGTGGAAGACGAGCGCCTCTGAAGGTGTGTTATTTCGGACGATTGTACCACAAATAGCTGTTAATTTTAAGTTAGCTCATTTTTATCAGCTAGTTGTTTGAATCCATATGCTAATAGGTGACTGGATAGTGAATTGAATGTGCATATGAATTATTAGCACTATTAGCAACCTCAAACTTACTAATGCAACTAATAGTTAGCGGCCCTCCAGCTAATAATTAACAGCTTTATTAGCAAGTCTGTTGAATCTATTAATACTAATTTTAACTATTAATTTTAGTGCTAATGAATCAAATAGACTCCGGTCTTCTTGGCTGCAATTAACTGCGTGCGGGTAGCCGAGAACATCACCTCTGTAAATTGATCAATATATTATGTAGGGTACTCGAAATCAACCAAAAATATGAATACGTAGATGATGTAAAGATACATATTCATGCAAAATTTAGAGATGGACAGATTTTGTACAAGGAGACATATGCGGGCCATGAATCCACATAACATAAACAGTGCACCCGATCCAACAAAAATGCTGACATTATCTTCTTTTCTTTCGCCTTCTATAGAATTTTGGTCATTCTCAAATTTTTCATGGGCATGCATTTTGTTATCATGCACCCATTCATATATTTGGTTGATATTTTCATGCAAATTTTGATGGCTTTTTTGAAGCGGAGATTGAGAGCTATAGGAGATGTTCACAGCTTATCCGTTCTCCTAACAGACCTCGGCATCAGATGGTGATTGCCAAACCGACATCATTGGTCTTGCAAGCCTGTCAGTAATCAAGCAGCTAATTACTTTCGCGCATTAGGATCAATTCGTATCAATCCATCCAAAGATTTGTCGTGCAGGTGTTGGATTCCGAATAATTGTGTGGCCTGAACGCATATGCCGTATGCGTCTATCGTCTCTCTGACTGTGACTGATTCGTCTTCCTAACTGCAATTAACGGCGGGCGGCTAGCCGAATACGACCATTGCCATGTTTCGCTGGGCTTACTGGCCTCTTCGTTTCGGCTTATTCGCTCGTATCTGACTTATAATTCACGGCTTAAACAGTGTTTTTTTTTTACACCAAACCAGTTAGCAGTACTTTCAGTCATAATTTATAAGTCAATTCAGCCAAAACAAACAGGCTGTATAAACCGCATTTTTTAAGCTAACGAATAATATTTTTCTCTCACAACAAATCAGTACTTTCAGTCATCGCTTATCAGCCAAGTGAACATGACAAATATATTATGTATATACTGAAAAATCAACCAAAATCTCCTATCTCCTTTACCTGAGTAGGAGAACCCGTTAACTTATTTTTCGGGCTTCTCCTTGAGCCACGTCATCCCCTTTCTTTAGCCGCCGTTCCATCGCGCGCACCAACGACTCTTCTACCGCAACTATTCTTCTACCGCATCAAATGCACGAACGGAAGCAAACCAAAGGTCGTCGCTGCAATCTGAAGACAAAAGGTCGTCGCGGCAATCGAGTTTAAACAACTCCGCTCCGCCTCAGCCATGCCCCTGCCCAGATTGGTAGCACCGCACCGCGTCCATCGGGCTTCTCTCAGATCAGCTGTCGCGACGTCCCCGGCGAGATACCGGGCTCCCCCTCGGCCATCGCGAAGCTCATACCCAGGATCACCTGGCTACAGAAGGAGAAGATGGACCTTCGAGGCTCAACATCATCTCCGCTAGGCTTTGCTCCGCTCGGCGGCGCTGCATCGCCCAGACCGTTCGCCCGCGATGGCTCGCTTGCTGCGTCCGCCCCCATCGCCGGCAGTACAGCCTCCGTCCCCAGCCCCGGCGGTCGTTCGCCTGAGGCCTGATCCCGACGCAGGAAGCTTGATCTGTGCCGGGGCCGCGCGTGGGACGCCGAGATGTGCGGCGCGACGCCCCACAACCACCGCCGCCACCGTTTCCCAGCTTCGTGCCTCCATGCATAATCACGATGTGTTGAGCACCTGCCGCCGCCAGCCACGCGACGATGGTGGAATCTCGAAAGGGAAGGAGGAAGGAGATCTGAGCGGAAGGGAACACGGCCGTTCCGTGCTGGATACGAGTGGGAAGACGAATGAGTGGACGAGATGAGAGCCATCCGCGCGTCCGCGGTTGACGGCTTGAGGTAATGCTGCGCTGTTTTTTTTTTTTGACACAGGGCAGCAAGCAGTTTTCACGGCGGAAGAATAATGCCGTTCAGGTGCAGTGGTTTCCTTGAGATGGGTCCCATAACTGAAATCCTATGTCTGTCATCTTCTATTTATGTGTGCTTTTGATAAAATTTAAACCACAATTACTGTCTTTTACAGGTTTTTACAGGTTGCACGTAGTTAGATACTTTTCTCTTTTGCCATATATTAGATACGTGTTTTTTCTTTATGAAGATATGTATATGATTGACAAACGTTTTGTTAGGTTTTACCAAACACGGATCATTGCTTTCCATTAATATTTTGAGATAAAATCATGGAAAGCAATATTTCTCCCTTTGTTGAATATATACAGTGCTACAAAATCCCGGCAGCAACGCACGGGGTATTATCTAACATATATAAGTAGATGATGCAAAGATACATGTTCATGTAAATTTTTTGTGTATTCGAGAATGTTCATGCAAAATTTAAAGATGCATAAAATTTCTGTACGAGGAGACAAAAAAAATCAGCATGTGAATTGATGCGGGTCGTGGATCCACATAAACAGTGCACATTGCAACAGTAACACATGAGAAAGATATTGTGATGGATCAATAATTTTTGAGCGAAATACAAAAGATGGCTTGGCTGCTGCTGATGTGACAACAGTAATTAATGAATGCAAACAACCTTCAAATGATTTTATCTACTAAACTGTTTATCTGATTTATGATATGATTACATAGTTGTATTCGTTGCAATTAAATCTACAAAACAAGATCTTAAATAATTATATTTTAGTTAAAATTAAATAAATGATAAATGGGTGCCGCATAACATCATCAGCCCATCCATCATCGTCCATCCAACCAAACCGAAAAATAGCTCGTCCCATCTCATCCCATCTGACATGTATCCATTCAACCTAACAAAAATAAATAGCTCGTCCCATCCATCCAACCAAACATGAAAGTATAGATAACCATATCCAGAAATCCATAGATGGTCGTATCTCATTCATTATTGTCCTCGAACCAAAAGCACCTTAGTATAACACGCAATATATAGACGTTGATTTTAGCCAATATTTCTAACTTACATTATTCGTTATTCGTATTCGTAGGCTCTGTTCACTTGAGCATATAAGTCAGAATCAGACCTACTTTTTTAGCCATGGAACAATATTTTTCTCTCACGACAAATCAACCCTGCAAATTAGCCACAGCAGCCGTAAATTCTACCGAACAGAGCCGTAGTCGAGACAATCTACGTATGTTTGTATTTAAGCCTGCTGGGTACCAGTGTGGCTTCTAAATAAAAAGGAAAAAAACTAAAATTAACATTATCCGTCCATGTATCTGCCCGTCCCTGCCGTTCCTTATCAGCTACAAAATCTGCCACGCCCACGCAAGCAGGAACACGACGACACGCCAAGCTAATATAAAAATCTTACAGACAGGGCCCCCAACACGCCAAGCAGAGCAGGCGAGCAGCAGACCTCCTGTCTGTCTACTCCTGCCCGGAGCCGGAGCACGCCGCGCGACTGCCCGAGGACGAGGGAGCGGTCGCCGGCCTCGGCGGAGGAGGAGGATGGGGCGTGGGGGAGCGGATGCGGAGGCGGAGGTGGAGGATGCCGGCTGGGAGAGCAGCAAGCCGACGCTGCTGCAGCGGTGGTCCTCGTCGGTGTGGGCCGTCAGCAGCAGCGGCCGTCTGATGTGGGCGGGCAACGAGGCGTGGCGGGCGCACGTCGGGATGGCCTTCGTCCAGGTCGCCTACGGCGGCTACCACGTCCTCACCAAGTCCGTCCTCAACGTCGGCATGAACCAGATCGTCTTCTGCGTCTACCGCGACCTCGTCGCGCTCGCGCTCCTCGCGCCCATCGCCTTCCTGCGCGAGAGGTACCTCGTCCCTTTCGCCTCGCCTACCACCGAATTTCACTTCAATTTCCTCTGCCCCAGCAGCAACCAGGGGGAAAAAGATATTTTCTTTGGCTTCTTCCCTGCTACAGTACCTCACTCACTCATCCAAGGGGATTTTTCAATTCGTCCCGTAAATTTGGTATCCATCCGTCCTTGCAGAAGCGTGCGCGCGCGGCGCCCGGTGACTCCTCGCCTCCTCGCGTCCTTTGCTCTTCTCGGATTCACTGGGTAATTTATTTAGTTATTATGTTCACTTTCTTTTTCTCTTATTATAAATCTATAGTTTCTCCACCCTTGTTGGAAATAATGAAATGGCTTTCTCCAACCTTGCCGCAGGATTTTCGGGAACCAGCTCCTCTTCCTCCTGGGCCTCAGCTACACCAACGCCTCCTACGCCGCGGCGTTCCAGCCGGCGATACCGGTGTTCACGTTTCTCTTGGCCGCAATCGTCGGGTAATAACAATCAGAATCATCTCCTGAGTCCTGACATGGACGCCGTCTCAAATGTCGACTGAATTCTAAGTAAATTCCACGCATTTTCCAGCGTCGAGGTGATCAACATCTTCACGAAAGATGGGGTTGTCAAAGTTCTTGGCACAGCCGTGTGCGTCTTTGGCGCCGTCCTGATGGTCATCTACCGAGGCCCGTCTTTGATTGGGATGGGAGGCGCCACTGCAGCCGATGCAGCTTCCCTGGCCGGCACTTGGAGCAGCAATGCCTATTCTCCTCAGTGGTTGACTGCAGCCGTGCTCCGAAATGGTATGGAAGCATGGAGTCTCGGGGTCGTCTGCCTCATCGGAAACTGCTTCCTGATGGGTGCTTACCTAGTCATTCAGGTGATGCAGACTTTTCAGCTCTTGGGTGTTGATGGCAGAACTTGGCAGCATTGGGTTCGGTATTTATTGATGTGGTATTTCCTTTCTTTTATTGACTGAATATCTAGTGGCTGAGATATGAAGGTTTAACGTAGATTTAATGTAGATTTATGTTCACGCCTAATGAAAATTGCTGTCCTTTTCTGACGTGACAACTCCAGGCCCCGGTGCTGATAAAATATCCTGCAAGCTTATCCCTCACTGCTTACTCCTATTCTTTTGCAACCTTGTTTATGGTGGTTACTGGCGTATTTGCTACCAATGGGCTCCATGAGTGGGCAGTGACAACAACCGAGGTCATAGCCATCGTATATGCTGTAAGTATATGAATTTGACGTCAGGCTTAGCTTTAGAAATCGCCCCGGTTGTGTAACCACATCTTTTGCTCGTACCTACCAGGGAATTGTTGCGTCCTGTCTCAACTATGCAATCATGACTTGGGCAAATAAGATTCTTGGGCCCTCTCTAGTTGCCCTGTATAATCCACTCCAACCAGCATGCTCTACCTTGCTTTCAACTATTTTTCTTGGAACCCCAATTTATGTTGGAAGGTTTGGCCCAACTCCCAACTCTATAATTATTCCAAATTGCTGTTTCAACATTATGCTTTGGTGATTTCGCAGATTTTGGATCCTTTAAATTGTTGGCTTAGCATGAGTTTATCAAGTATCAATTGCAATGAATCATGGGTCAACATATTATATTATTCTTTGAAGCTAACTAATATCAGGCAACTTTTAAATTTAGACCTTGTTTACATCTGTATTTTATTCGTTTCAGTGTTATTGGGGGACTCTTCATCATTGCTGGTCTTTACCTGGTTACTTGGGCTCGCTACAATGAAGCTCAGAGAGTTCTGGGTGCCCGTTATTTGCAACCTCTTCTTGTGGAGGGTCTACCAACCACCAAGGCAGAAGGGAGTTCCTTCAGGGGCTCCATTGATCCTTAGACCCCAGAGAGGCAGATGGATTGCCTCAATTGTTTTTCTTTGACAGCAGCAGCAGATTTATTTCATGTCTTTGTTGTATAATACCAATCTTGCCTAGGATCATCCTCCACATAATTACTACCATTTCAAGCATCCAAACAAGGTTCCATTATCAGGAAGAATGGCGGTGTACTGAAAAAATATCATATCCTGAACATAATCCGGATATTCTGGTATCCCAATCGGCATTTTTGTTCCCAGCATTTGCAGAAGATACCTTTGGTTAGGTGCATTGATCTTTCGACTTCAACAGTTTTGTCTGTACAGGTCCAAGGCTAACTGCAGTTGGATTAACCTCACCAATGAAAGGTACTTGCCCTGATTGCTTGACCTATTTGTCTGTCTTCTGAATTTGGGAGCATCCACATTGTATCCCATATATCCGTTCTTGTCATCTGTATGTCAACACTCAAAACACATGTACAGTCTTGCTATTGCACAGTTTTTTCCCCCCTAACTTGAGTTTATCTTTTGTGTTGGCAGAATATCTTTTGTGCCTAAAAAGTGAAGCTGCAATGCACTAGAGCTATCATACTCGTGGCAGGACAAACTTTTCTTCCGTGATGATGGAATCCAACCTGTTCTCTGTATTCAAGGGGGAGTCAAAATAATATTCCAAAGTTCATGTATTCGTGTATCAGATTTTGGAACAATTGGACAATGTGGGCCCTGTTCGGCTGGCTGGAAAAACGGCTGATGCTGAGCCGTGGAGTCGTACTGTGCCTTTTTGTTGTATATGCGTTTATCTTCTCTATTTCCGATGCTGTCTGCACTTCCAGCTGTCTATGCTTCTTCCCCTGTGTAATTTTTTACCGATGCTGTCTATGCTTCTTCCCCTGTGTAAATTTTTATACGGTCGGAAATTGAATACAATCCAAGGCATATTCAGATTCGAGGATTAAATATTTATCCCTGATTGTGCTGCGTGAGTGCTACGCCAGGTAACAGAACCTTTTGTAGTTTGTAAAACAACATTAAACTATACCTAATCCTTTTGGATCAATGAGGAAGCCACAATCTTTATTTAGCGCGCTTGCATCGCCACCAGAGGTGACAGGGGAGGGAGGGGGCAGGGTGTGTGACAACGGCAATGCAGATTTAGGGTTAGGGTTTTGGCGAGGGGGAGGGAGGGAAGGGGCTCCATGGCGTAGGGTGGGAGAGTACAAAGAGGGGTCCAACGGTGGTGGTGGCTAGCGGGTTGAGGACCTTGGTGGTAGGCGAGGCAAGTGGCCATGTGGGAGCAAACCAGAGGTTGAAGATGAGCGTTGATATTCATACAGCTGCGTGCTATTAAGTAAAATTAACATATTTATTTAGATTAGATTAGTCATCGGCGACTCCTGTGTTGATTTTTAGCATCAACACGTACCTAGAAGAATGCCCTAGGTTATCCCTCGCATACGTATCACAACACGTTACAAGGTATGTGGGACCGTGGGTTGCGGGTTGGTGTTAGGATGAGAGGTTGTCTTCCTCCCATAGGGGTATGTTTTGTTTGTGCCGCAATTTGTAAGTCGTTTAATGGGCAGTGGCAAAAAAGATATATGTTTGGTTAACTTTGTTTGGATGATAGCCAAACCAAATCTTGTCACAATTGTTTGTATAATGTATAGTCACAATTGTTTGTATAACATAATAGGACCCACATGTAATTATTTTTTTCTTCATTAGAACCTAATCATGTGGGATCTTATTTTGTAGATTAATCATAAGGAATATTATGGTCGAAAGGATCAAATAGAGCGTAAAGAGGGCCGTTGAACGGATTACATTTTGATAGGTTTGCACTTTTATACCAAAGGGGGGATTTGAAAGCTTCTTTGGGCATTAGGCTCCAATAAAAATTCAAATTTGACATATATTTTTGCCGTCTCAATGTTATTTCAATTTGGGCCCCGCCGGGATGGGCAAAATTCACTCGAGTTTCAGCACACTTGGGCCGAGTTAGTGTAGGACAGGTCACCCCGGTCAGAGTCAGGATACTAAACACGGATAAAATGTTCACACACTTTCCACTCTGGTGATGTAATACTATCAATCAAATGCAGTAATCTTTACTCCTGAGCAAACAATTATCCGAAGCAAAGTGAAAACTACACCAAATCATGGCGCATATTTATCTGTATATGGCATACTAACAAACTTAAACAAAAGATACACTGAATATGATATTCGTCTCCTATGAATGAATATTCCCTATGAATGCACTTCAGAACATTGTGTGGGGCTTTGTGTTCAAAGGATCATGTTAGGACACTCACAATGCAGAATTCATTAATAGTTTCTATAGTATCGTGTCGAGAAAGTATCATTCACAATGCAGTTTTTTTTACCTAGAGTCCAAATAAAATTCTGCCCAATCATCCACTATGTGCTCTCCTGTCACCAGGCTGTGGTTTATGCGGTTGATAAGTTGGCTAAAGCTGATTTTTTTTAAAAACACTATACATGCTAATAAGCCAAGCTAATAAGTTCAAGCGAACATAACTGTGATGTTCGCGAGCTCTGGGAAGAGAACGGGAGCATGGGATCCATCGGTGGCCGCCTGAAACAATAGCCTCCTCCCAACACGGTACGGAGTAGTTTCGAAGGACTTTGTTTCGCGTTAACACGTCGAGTCTAATCTAGAAACTCTCTTACCACATCAGCAAAATATCTACATGGCAGCACAATTAATGCACATAGAAACTATGATAGTTTATGCATTGTGAGTGCTCTTAGGCTTGCAAATAGTCTTTGTGCAAGATTATCAATTTGGTTGACTAAACAGCAAATTCAAGACATGTAGTCGCACCAGATGAACAAAGTATTGTAGATGTCCATTGACTGCAACATTTGCAAAAAAAAAAAGAGCTTCTAGAGTTATAGTGGCAATACAAGCATACGGTGCCACGGTGGCACACAATACAAGGTGATTTGTTTTTTAAGGTGATGATGAAAGTACAAAAAAAAAAACAATAACAAGTAGGCCCATCAATTATCCATTTGTAAACAGAGGCAATTCTCCAAATTTGTCCAGGGGCACAAACAAAGCAGGTAAACAAAGTGTTCTTTGACGACAGAATTGAACCACTAAAAAAACAACGAAAAATGATACTCCAAAGACCATGTATCAGATTTTAAAACGATTGGTTGCTGGATCCAAAGGCCATATATGAGATTTTCAGCAAGGAACGTAGTTTAAATATAGCGTTCAAAGCAAATAAAAATGGATAACTTAAATTGCTTCAACCACGAGTCAACAAACAATATTTGGTGACAAATTCATGGCATGCAACAAAATAAAAGATTGCAACTGGTATTAACCCCCCCCCAAAAAAAAAAAAAAAAAGCTTCAAACATGGTTACTCATAATATACAATACTATTGCCTAGTTTTGAATGATCAGCTTTACAAAATGTTTGCTGGTATGTAGTGTAACAGTACAAGTAATCCTGACCACGGTAAGCAGTCAAGTTACCAAACAAATGAATATATGTTTACATTGAGGGGGTACTGTAAGCTTGGTACTAGGGAGACCTTAAATCTATGCATCGCTTTAAAAGGATAAGTTAAATTGCTTTACCCATGTGTTACCAGACATGCCTAGCAGGCAGCAGCAAACACCATCCAAAAAAGGAAAAAAGATGGCAAGTGCTGTCATACCCCAATGCCTCAAACACCACTAACCATACTATTGCATTATTATTGCCTAAAATTGAATGGTCCACTTTACAGAAGGTTATGCTTGCTGGCACGAAGTAGTGTAATACAAGTAATCCTGATCAAGTTACCAAGCAAATGAATAGCTCAGCTACAATGAGGGGGTAATTGTAAGCTTGAGGCTTGGAAACCCTTAAAATCTGTACATCGCTGAAACGGCATAACCAACTTTAAATGACAGTCTGGTGACGCAATATTGTGAAGAGTGCTGTCATACTCGTGAGCAAACAATTCTCAGGAAGACGACAACAAATAATTAGCATAGTCATTAATATGGCATTACTCCAGCATCTTAAACAAAAGATACTCCCTCCCGCCTTTTATGTCGGTTAGCTCAACATATAGAAGAATGGAGGGAGTACATGGTTAATTGGTTATCTGTTACATTACTCATCTCTCATGAATGCCTTTCAGCACTTTGGAAGTTGGGATCTAGGAAACCAGTACCCATGCAAAAACAGTAAAACTTAATCTAGCGACGAACTCATGACATACTTAACCATGTGAAGAGGAACTGAAATCACTAATGAACTCCAGCATTTGCATGACTCAAACTAGACAACTACCTTTCATTTCTAGTCACAATACATGAACCAAGAACAATTAAGCCTAACAACTGTCACATGGTAAACAAAGGCAATTCGCTAGTCCAAGAGCATAAGCAAAGCAGGTGAATATTTGGGCCATCCAAGCATATCCAACAATACGAATTATTCATACATACGACAAGAGAAGATCTGTCTCATGAAACCCTTAACCCTGACAGTATTAAACACCCAACAGCAGACGAAACAATTCAGGAACTTTACTTGCCATTAGAAGAAAGTAAACAAAAAACAGATTTCTGCCATGTTCAAGGAGACCCGATCGACATCAACAGTACTAGCAGCCGTCGCCGGCATCACGGAGCATCGACACATACTTAAACATGCCAGAGTTGCCAGTGACGAGATTGATATATAGTCGACACATCTATCACACGACACATGTACCAGCAGTATAACAACGAAAAGCAGCAGCAGACTAACAGTACACCGCAGGCTGACTGCGGCAGTGGCCACTGGACCAGATGCCAGTAGTTTGATTATAGATAAGGTTGGCGGATGGGATTGAAATCGAAGGGAATCACCCCAAGCAGGCAAGCGAACCAGCCAGGCAGCCAACTCTCTCAGGAAGACGACAACAAATAATGAGCTAGTCATTAATATGGTGTTACTCCAGCATTTTAAACAAAAGATACTCCCTCCCGCCTTTCATGT